TTGCTAATGTAAGTTTATTTAGAGTGCATATAGTGATACACTCAATTTACCATATGCATTTTGTGAGTTGATGTTAATTATAATTTTGTCACCCTTGAGAAATTAATGTGGATGGTGGATGTAGTTTGGTTTATGCTTCAAGTGATATAATTCTATTTAAATATTTTTGTTAGTGAGTTTGAAAATTTGAGTTAAGATTTGATTTAGGCTCGACTCCTCCAATTAAGATTTTCTGTTAACATGGTTTTCATCGGGGGTTTGTCATTTCAAATGCTTGCATTCATATAATTTATTTGAAATCTATTAGTTTAATTTCTTTTAAAGGATTAGTCTCATCAACTATGGTTCTAATAAAGAGGAAGATTGGGTTGGTTAGATGTTATTTACAACCCAATCCTATAGGCAAGATGAGTAAACTGAGATCCTATAGCGAAGATGAGTAAATTGAGATTGTGTGTAACTTGATTATCTTGAACTTGATTTTTGAAATAAAGAGCTTGTAATTTTAAAATATTCATAGGCATTTCATAAAAAAGATTTGCATGTTTCTCATAATGAGAATAGTTTGAGTGAAAATTATATTTTAACCCGTGTAATATCTTTTAGACCGTTACGTTTAAACAGTTAGTCTATCTATTAGAGTACAGACTCATTTTAAATTTCATATAGTTAGATATTTATTAGAGTTTACATTTTTTTTCAAAGCTCTTACATATCTTTTAAAATCATGTTTGGATTGCAAATTATTTCACAAATTATAAATAATTATAAATAATACTTGAATGTACTCTGAGTAGACTATTTTATGTGTGTAGTTTTATCATTAGATAAAGTACAGAACTAAGGTTTGAATCTTTAAATAATGCTTTCTGTTTGCTAATATACTTGTTATAGATCTAGTGGTGAATGTGGCATCCTATATTTGATTGAACCTTCAAAGTATTTTAGTTTCTTACTTTTGGTCTTCATATTTCAAATTCTTGAATATTCATGAATCACATATGTATTGCAAAGAACTCTTATTTATAAATATTTTGGAATACTTAACTTCAGTTAGTTAATCTGAATATTTTTTAAAAGGGTTATACCATTATCGTTAGATAATTGTGAGTCCTTTTTAAATCATTTATGTGTTCAATTCTTGTTCATTTAAAGTAACAAATAGCGCACTAAAAAAAATTATTTTTGTTCACAATTTATATTTATGTTCATTGATTTTCTTATTTTCTGTTTTACTAGATTTAAATGATCAATTTTAATTTTGTTCTTTTCAAGTCTTTTTACTTGAAATTTTGGCTGCCTCCCGGTGTCTTTGATGCATAGGTGACATCAACAGGAGAAGTATACTTTCCCACCATACTAAGAAAAGCACGTATGCTCGACATCGTGCGATATCACAACCATATTTTTTGTTTATAACTCGTTGTGGCATGAAAGATGCTTATAGGACGTTATGTACTTACATGAGAAAAAGCTACACATGATTTTTCCGTTGCATTAAGAAAAGTGCATGCAACTATTTTAATTGTAATTTTTATGTTGCGTTAAAAAAAAGCATGTACATGTATTTAAATTTTTGTGTTTTATACTTGTGTGTCAGGCCGTGTCAACGACGGGGGACATTGGATTAGAATAATTTTTGTTTATCTTTTCTAGTTCTCTCTGTGTTTGTTTTTTTTTTTAAATATAATATGCATGTAAAAATAGAAGCAAGGTAGGTGCGGTGGGTTGGCTGTCAGTGCGGAAGTTTGCTAGTTGCAACTTGGTGTTGGAGCGGGCTAAGGGTTCGAGCAGTAGAGGTGAGATCTTGGCTTGTTATGATATAAAGTGAGTTTGGTGAGAGGGGTTCGACTATGTGCTTGGGATGGTAGCAATAGAGGGGCATAGGGGACTTCGTCTTTTTACTGCGTGCTTGCCAAAGAAACAAAGAAAGGAGAAGGAATGTTTAGGGTTTTGTAGGCTTTTGGTTTTGAGATTGTCCGTGGAAAAGAAGTGAACTATGAGTTCTGCGAAATGAAGAGAGGGAGGGAGAATCGGGCTGGTTTTGAGTCGTGTGAGTCTGTAGGATCGTAGTAAGGATTGGGTGGGCTCAAAATTATAGCATCAGGTCGATGCGACAGAGGAGTAAAAGGAGCAGGGCTGGCGAAGGCTTCAACAACTGGTGTTTTGTGTGATTTCTTGTGTACGTGAGAAGAAGCATGAACGAGAAGGTGGATTTGTGGGAACTATCGTGAGATTTAGTAGAAATAGTTGAGGAATGACAAGAGTGAGAGCAATTTTATGTTTTAAATTTTAACAGATTTTATATAATTACTCATGTTTTAAGTTTAATTAATACTAATATAGTTTAATCTTATGATAACAATAATAATTCTTCTCTCTGTCTATATATATAATTTAAAGCAAATATCATATTTAATTTCGTAAAATCTTATGTAATTTTATTAGTTATTTAAATAATAATAATAATAATAATAATAATAATAATAATTTCATTTTTATTTTTTTTCCACTTAATTTGTCGTCACGTGTCTCCAAAAATTAATGTTATTACCCACTTGCCTAGTTTAACTTCATGTATTGCATTCATGTGGGGATCCAAATAATATGAATGCCTATTTTTGACATTTTTCAACGTTATAGATGTGTTAACATTGTTTGTTGGGCGAACAGAAGGCACTTGGGCGATTTTAACGGTGGTCAAGTTGATTTGGGTCAAATAGAGCAACTTTTCGTTCATAGCTCATTGTTTTCATCACGCTCGATGGAATCAATTACAGAAGAGTTCTTCAAAACGACCTTGATTCTCTAGATGCATTGGCAAAATTGATTTGCTGAACAAACTATGTTTGATCTGCTTCTGTAGCGCTCAAATGATTTAACCTTGATTCTTGCATTATTGCATTCGTCGTCCTTCGCTTTTGATGCATTTGCTCGATTCAATTAGCAGATTAATAACCAAGGTTAATTGTGTATAGACGTTAATTTCTTGACAAGGGACCATGATGCTATCATACAACTTTTGTAACGTGTTGTACCTTCATTTTGTGGTTTGAGGTAGGGCTGTCAAAAAAGCTTGTTATTCGCGACCAACTTGTGTTTGACTCGTTAAGTAGTTCATGTTCGAATTGCTTGTTAAGCATGTTAGTCAAATGCGAACAGATTTTTTAAGCTTGAATTATAAACGAGCCAAACACTAGCAATCTTTTGTTTGATCGTGTACAACTCGTTTTAGCTCGAAATACGGAAATCACATATATTATTTATATAATAATTTATTTAATATATTTATATATAAGTATTATCATATTAGCTTGTGTGGCAATGTGGTTTTGAACCTTCTATTTTAGAGGATTGGTGCAAGTTCGAATCCATACCCTATATTTAATTTTCTAATTACTTTAAACGAGCCAATTTTGAGCTGAACACGAGCCAATCACGAACAAGAATATATAAATTGGGCAAAACACAACACACTATTCATGAGCAATTTCGAGCACGAGCCAATTTTGAATAGAATTAATTTCAAATGAGCCAAACATGAGCCAAGCCTGAGCTTGCTCAAGCTCAATTCGTTTACAACCCTAGTTTGAGGTGATTTAGTTTTCACTTTTGTAATTTTCATGAATCACGTTTCAGTAATGTCTATCCAATAATTTTCATTGATCTATTTTCAAACCTTTTTGTAGTATTGGAGGCATATGTATCTATTTTCAAGTCTGTTTTTCTCAGATTGCCCTTATCATGAACCTTATACTTGAATTAAATTGGCATGAACGTTATTTAAATATTGACTTGATAATTTTCCGGAGTTCATTTGACCTTGATATGAGCTGTCATTTTAATATTGCCTTGGGTTGAAATATTTTGAAGGATGAATTCTTTCCGATATTTTTGTGGGATGTAATCATAGAACATCATGCCTATGATGCCTGGAACACAACTCAACATGCACATTTTTGGCACATTATAAGCTGTTCTTATTTGTATATATACTCAAACTTGGATGGGTCCGTTTGAAAATTGATGGGGAGGGGATCCCAATCTCCCTTTTTTTCAAAAAAAAAGGAAAAAAAAAGAAAAAAAAAGATTAATCATAAAATTTACCTCTTTTTTTAGTTCTTTATCTGGTAAAATTTTCTACCTAAAGTCAAGATTGCACTTATTTTTTTATTATTTTTTTTTTATAAAAATCTTAGGGTTCTACTATTAATATATCCCTCAAAATTTTATACTAGATTGGTGATTTGGTGGAAACAACCCTTTACAGTCATGCAATGGAAAATATTCTTATAAATGTTCTCTATCATGTAGTTATATATAGGCTTGTTTTAATTTACAAGTTACATCATGATGCCTTTAAACATCTTTTGTTTTAAAAAAATCTGTAGGTGTTTTGCATGCCAAAACATACATCCTCTTTTTTATATTTAAGAAGTTTGATTTTGGGACATCTTGCAATTTTACCGTTGAAACCCTTATCTCCCTCTTGGGACCCTTGCTGCACCCCCTCCTATTGCCCCCATCCTTCGTGCTTTATTCCTGGGTACACCACCGCATTGATGTACTTGTATACTACTGTTTTTTCTGCATCAACTATCCGTCATGTATTTGTGTCCACGCTTGCTGTGCTGGAGTATGAATTTGGTGGATTCTATTCGGAGTTCAGGGCAGAGAAATTGAATTGTTCATCGTGAATTGGAAAAATTGTCCAGAATGAAATGGAGATTGGGGCCTGTGTTAGATTATTGGCACACCAATTTGAGATTTTCAGAATTGTAAGGATTAATAGGCGTGGCTGTAACTCTAAAACCCAAAGAAGAAAAAGAACTAGCATCCATTAATGAGGGAGTAAAACGTAGCTTTTTGAATCTTTGGTTTGATTTTTTCAGAGCATGAAATTTTGTGCTTCACTTTTTTTTTCCTACATTGTAGAAATAGTTCATATACATTTTAATTTCTGCCTTTACCATGTCAGTTAACATTTCTGTTTTTCATAGAGCGGCAAAGATTTTCTCCTCAAGTCTGTGGGTGTTATTGATGCAAGTGTGGATACTGTGTTTGAAGTCATTCTCAGCCTGGATAGACATAAGAGATACGAGTAGGTGGAACTAGTTACATCAATGTACACTCGTCATTCCTTAAACCTTAACCCCTTGCAGGTGGGATATGTTTACAGGTGACTTGGAACTTCTAGAATCAGTTGATGGGCATTATGACGTTGTTTATGGAATCTATGATCCTAAGCTCTTAACGTGGTATGCATCTCTTATTATGTATACTTTTTATCAGTGCTGGTATTTAACCTGATATTATCTGTTAAATCAAGTGTTGCATATACATATTTGCCCATTAGTTCGTTTTGCTATTTTTTTATTTTTTTATTAGTTTGTTTTGTTTATTATTACCTTTATACTAAGTTACTGTTACGCTTTGGACCTGTCCCTCCTGTACCGGTCGAAGGCCAAAGAATCGGCCTACATGGCCGATCCTGCTCGCTTGAAGGGGCAAAGGAATGGCCCTTTGCTGCGGTAGAAAAGGGCATGGAGCAAGTGGGGACCACGAGGGGTTTAATTACATATTCAAGGATGAGAAATTAAAGGAGGTTTGGAGGGAAAGTGGGAAAGGAAAGTTTTCAAATGCTGTGGGAGGTTTTTTTATTAAAGGGAGGAACCTAGGGTTGGTTTGTTTTGGATGCATGTTTTTATTTGGTTGTTGTTTTCCTTCTTCTTGTGGTGTTCTTAGCGACATTTAGGGGGAGAGAGAGACAATATACCTCTCGAATAGTAGATCAACGTTGTATCTTGCTTGTTTTCCTTTGATTTCTGTAAGAGCAGCCCTTTTTGTGTCTTTTCCACCTATCTATTGTGATTTTGCCAAAGTTTGTTCGCTGATTTTGGTGCCGAGGCATATCAAATTGGTATCACAGTATAGATCATGGTGGGATGGCAACAAAAAAAGTTGATATGCTAGAAGGAACGATAGTGCAAATCCGATCGGGATGGAAGAAAGGTTTCCTACCATGGAGGACATATTTTCTTCTATTGAATGTCGAATGATTGATGAATTTGAAGCATAGGAGAAATGTGGGAGATTATGAAAAAGCTCATGGAGATGCAATCCAAGGCCGTGCCGACCAATCCAGTTACAAACGCTAACCAAGAATTCATCAGGGATTCATTGACTTGGTCAAAAGGGAGGGAGATCGAGCGAGAAGACCTCGAAGAAGTTATCATCTTCCTACAAGAGCGACCCCCTAGGACTCCGAGAGGAGAAATGGAGATGTACAATGGAGGGTGATGGGCTGAAAATTGGAGAGTGGATGGTGGAAAGGGCATGGAAGTGTATGGAGGAAGGAGGGAAGCGAGAGTGGGATATGCCTATGACTGTGGGAGGGAGTTTCAATTTAGATACATGGGGAAAATTCCCGAGGGAGAGGAAGTTGGGGTGGAGTTGCAAGGGTCAGAAAACTGAAGATGTTGCTCTTTGAAGGGGGGATACACATGGATCTTTAGGCCTCATGTTGGTATCAAGGGGCTGTTTTGGGTTACTGAGACAAGCCAATACCTGAGCATTCTCCCCTTCGAAGATCCATGTGCATCCTCCCCTACAAGGATCAACTTGCTCTATCAACTCCACCAACTAACCCAAAACTGCAGCTCACGCCTCATGTTGGTTTCAAGGGGCGGATGACTGCTCTTATGCCAGGCTTTAGGCCTTTGAAAAAGTTCACTTCCAGTTTTGCTTCAAAAATGCCCCTCAACCTCCCTGATAAGAGCTCGAACTTCTCTCAGCATTCCATAATTGTCCCCTCCTGAGTCAGAGCATAAAATTCAAGGAGCTGTTTTGGGTTACTTGGTGGAGTTGTGGAGCATTAAATAGAGTTCAGATTCAGAGTTGACAGAGTTTCCAGAAGGGGTTCATCAGCTCTTATAACAGTTTATGGATGTCTTCCAGCAGTTTTGCAGGTTATCTCATCCGAGGGAGCACAAGCACACTATTACATTGAAGGAGGGTGTTTCCCCCATCAGCGTTAGGATATATAGCTACCCCTAGATTTGGAAGGATGAGATCGAGAAGCTAATCCGAGAGATGCTCGAGGCGGGGATTATTAGGCCTAGTGTGAGCCGTTTTTTTAGTCCCGTCCTGCAAGTGAAGAGAAAAGATGGTAGTTGGAGGTTCTGCATGGACTATCGGGTTTTAAACAAGGAGACAATGTTAGACAATTTTCCTATCCCTATGATTGATGAGTTACTGGATGAGCTTTATGAGACAATCATTTTCTCAAAAATTGATCTTAAGTCACGACACCACCAGATCAGGATGAATCCAGTAGATGTGCACAAGACAATATTCAGGGCACATGAAAAACGTTATGAGTTCTTAGTGACGCCGTTTGGCCTCATCAATGCCCCTACAATATTGTAATCCCTCATGAATAAGTATTTTTAATCAGATCTCCATCGCGTATCTCGTAGGACAACAAGTGTCGTTGTGCCTGCATCCCTTCGATGTAAAGCATGTAATTTGACCATAATCAGGCCGAGATGGATATGCTGAATACCCTCCTGAACAAGCCTTTGGTAAGGCTGTTGTGAATAAAAGGAAGGTTGACTTGAGAAATATCGGTAGCCAACACCCTTTCTTTAGAATAGTGTTGGTAAAATCTATGCTGGGATGCTGCAAGGTCATCTTGATATAGGGTCTCTGCAGGAACTAGGTTGACACGTTTATGTTGTGAGATCTGTAGTTGTTGATCATGATTTATACGGCTCTCAAGTGTTCTCAGATAAGAACAACTTCTTGGTAATCTCTTCTGTATTTCATAAGCAATGCGGGATCGCATACGATAATCTCATATTTGATCATCTAGATTAGATATAGGATTAGGGGAAGAGGAACTGTTGTTTAAGATTGGTGGAAGTGTAACAGTTCGAGTGGAGGATGAGGAAGCCATATCACCGATTCTTTTTGGATTTTTCAGAAATGAAAATAGATTTAAGATCTTTGTAAACGAAAAGTTGACCTTTTTTGTTTAGAACTCCTAGAAGTTCTAGGGACTTCAGAAAAAGAAAGGCCCTCAATCTGTTTTCGCAAGGATTCGACAGATGAATTAACTGATTGGTTACTACGAGCGTTCTGTAAGATTTTGATCTGATCTTCAAGACTGAGAAGTCTATCAGATACTTTAAGGACAAGTTGAATCAAAGTGTTGTTTTGTTTAACTAAAGCACTAAGAACAAAACTAGTGTTTTGTCGTGCTTCAGCTGGGTTAACAAAACCTAAAGCGGGTGGTTCAAAAGAATTGGTTGCAGCAAGTGCAGCTTTATAGTAAGAAGATGCAGAAGATTGAACCCAATCATTCATAAAAGGAGTGATAATAATGCAATGAAAAAGTACCTTAGGTTTATCATTTCAAAGTCTTATGATTCGACTTATAAAATCAAAGCTTTCTTTTCAAGTTAATTAATTTTAGCTCATGAAATTCGCCTGCCCTCAAGAGTATGACTCTTATTCATGAACTTATGATTTCTTATAGCAGATATCTAGATCGAGTTCTTAAAATAGGATCAGAAACGAAACATAATCAGGTTTCTGAATGTTACCCTATTAATTCCTTTTCACCCCTACAATTCCACAGTGCTCATTCCATAGAGTCTCGTCGTGGCACTCAGGGTTACTGACTGAATTAATAGGTTACTGTGTTTCCCAAGAAATCCCGAAGAAGAACACAAAAAAGGTCGTGTGTTTCCCGAGGAATCTTGAAGAGCGCAAAAAAGGTTACTGACTGAATTAATAGGACACAACATCCAAATTAATATTCATTTGTAGATCTTAAATCAGTAACTGACAGTATTCGGCCTCAAAAATCATAAAACCAGAAATAAGTATGCATAAGCTGAAAAGGACGTTAAAGAGTATTCATACCTCATCAACTCATGATGTCAAAATTACATAAACAAAACTAAGAACTAACCTACTCAGATTATGTTGATTATATAAACAGAAATATAAAAACTTATGTTTAATTCACCTGAGATACCAAGAAAAGTTTTAGCCCAACATGACTCTGATACCAAATTAGAGTAGATCTAGGATCGCCGCCTTGGGGTCACTTGGAACTTTTGACGGAAATCATATAATAAAATATATTGCTTATAAGATTGCTTACAAAGAGTAGACACCAATACAAATTGAGGGTAGACATTAAAGGTTGTGCACCGATGTCTGCAACTCAAACACATACTGACTTATATAGAAGAAATAGCTGGCATAAAATCAGAAACCAGCTCTGCAAAACCATGATCTCGCCCACTGATTGACAAAATAAGGGGCGGAAAGTAAATATTTGGTGGAGGAAAAGATTCTCCATCAGACAAACATGTGGTGGAAAGGACCTCCACCGGACACACGATAAGTGGGTGGTCCCCACAAAGCATACATTTGAAAATAATACTACAGACATTGAGTAATGAGATGGGCCCACTACTTCCACTAAACAACATTATGGAGTCCTTTTTCCGTCAGCAGCATGAGCGCGTGGATGAGTGCGTTGAGCTCAAATTCATTGCGGTAGACATACGGTCTGAGGTCTTTGTACGAGTTATCCTTTGTGGTATTGCATTTGCAATACAAAGATTTTGTTTCGTGTATTGTGCGTAGGATGTTGAGTTCCTCGATAACCCTTCCGACTTGTTCTTGCTCAATGATCATTGCTGCTCCTTGTAACCTTGTTCTAGCATCAAGGTTAATGGGGTGGTCAAAGCATGACCACAGTAATTCCCAGTGTATGTAGCTGGCGCCTTTGACTTGTCTTGAATTGCAAGGGCGACCATTTTTGAACCTCTATTATTGTTCCTTGAATGCGGCTTTGTCCGTTTTGATTCTTTATTAGAAATCAGCTCTTAATGCAATCTCTGAATATACTTCCTTTCCTTTATTTCGTCTTCGAGGATTCATTCTTCGGCTGAAAATATATAGTTAATTCTAAGATCACCTGCAACAAGAACAAAAGTTAGCCTTGTTAATGAGTCAGCAAGAATATTGTTCCTTTTGTCAATATGTTCGAAATGGACGGTGATTCCAAAGTCATTGATGAAATCAATAAATGATAGCCATCACACCCTTGATGACTTATTTTGAGCTGATTTATGATAAAAGGAGATGATGGTTTGACAGTCGGTTCTCAAAGTAATATCCGATTTGTCCAAATAATGAATCTTCAAAGAATTCAAAGTTTCTATACATTCAAAAATTT